TTTTTACCAAGGTGACAGTGGCTCTGACACTGGGTGGTCTAGGGGGGCGGGTGCATACCCCTTCAGAAGTATGTCGCCGATGCCCACCAGCGAGGCGCCCACAGCCGTCCACCACCCGTGGGGCTTACCCCTGGGCGCGGCAGGTGGATTGCTGGGGTTTCTTGGACTTGTCCTGCCTGCCCCGGGGGCGCCTGTCTTCACAGCCCACTGGCACCCCGTGGCCATCCTGCCCTGCTGTGGGGGAGCCAGGGCTGCGGGATAAGGCGGGGAGTGCCCCTGGCTCCTGCGCCCTGGCCCCATGGAGGGCACCAGCCAGGGGGTGGGTGCAGCGTGAGGAGGGGAGAGCGCCTGTCTGGTGCTTTCATCCAGCACCCCAGGAAATGATGACAAGCCCACACGAGGGGCTGGCGACAGAAGTCTGGTGACGCGGCCGCTGGGTGCGTGGCGGTGGCTCAACCCTACAGTGGTCAAAGGCTGCTCTGGCGCTTGGCTCTGGGCTGGCCGGGACCTCGGGAAGGCGGCTCGGTGCAGCTTTGCGGCTCCGCCAGAGCCAGCGCTGCTGCGCCAGACCAGGCACCAGCTCCCCGTTTCTGCAGCCAGAGCGGAGGCCCCGCGCACAAGGGCTGGCAGCCCGGTTTCTCGAGTTGCTACGGTCCATCCGTGAAGATGAAGAAAACGTTCAAAAAGAAAGTTTTCATAAGAAACATGGCACGTATTGGCACCTTAACACCCAAGAGGGTTAGCTTTGGGCCTGGTGGGTGGGCAAACTTGGCAAACCAGCAAATGGCTGAGTGAGCAAGGATGCTGGGTCCGGCTTCCTGCAGTGGGCACCAAGGTCCACCCTGCTCTGCCCTGGGCACCCCCCACAGGCCCCCCATAGCCACGCCCAGAACATCCTCAAGTAACACCATGGACACACCCCCCTGGGCCCCCCACTGACTTGCCCCTGCGGCAGCACCCCCACACACACCAGCCCCGCAGCGGCGACCCACACACCACACCTGCGAAGCCCCCCACTGAATGTGCCCCCCGTGGCACCACACCCCGCCAAGCACCCCCGTGTCCCCCCCCCAACGGCCGCCCCAGGGCCGTTTCTCAGAACCCGCTGGGCTGTGGTCAGGGCACCTGTGTGTGGGGGTGCCGGGGGTCAGCGGGCCCATCGCGCTGTCTAGCACTGGCCTCCTGGTGCACCGATGTCGTCGCCGGG